TGAGAGTAGGACCTACACAATGAGTAGGCCCACTGACCAATTGGGAAAGGCCCATGTTTGTCATGGATTCCATAAACTCCCAAGCCGCACCTGTAAGAGTTGACAGACTGGTCTCCAGAGGATTGTTGAAGTCACCCAAGACTAAAAGTCTGGGCGATTCCAGCAGGAACTCTGAGACCAGCTGTGTCAGCTCATTTAGAGAGTCTGCTAGACAACAGGGTGGTTGGTATACTAGCAGAATCCCCAAACTATCCCTGGTCCACAGGCTCAGGTACATGCACTCAAAATGGACTGTGTTCTGGACAGGTATCCTGGTCAAGCTCAAGTTGTTTTTTAGCCACTCCACCCACCCACCCCCACCCACTTCCCCTTACCTGCTCGCTGATGGAGTACCCAGCCAGGAGGACCTGCATCCACGTTATGGCACTATCCCCTCCCAGCCAGGTCTCCATAAAGCAAGACAGGTCGGCATCCTCACCTAGGAGGAGATTGTGGATAATGTGAGTCTATTCTTAACCAACTTGGCATTGCACAGGAGCAAGGTAAGGTTCTGTGGAATGGCTGGTAGGCTTTCCAAGCCAGTTCGAGAAACAGAGTGAGCAGAAGGCAAGATAGTTTTCAAGCAACGATCCCGCCTTCTTTTATAACATTGCCTCACTCTGTTCCCGCCATACCTCTCTTTCCCCCACACAACTTCAATTCCTACTCCCAGATCATTCCCGGCCAAATTGAAAACTAGAGTGTTATTACAGCCTTATGACCTCCCTCCCTTTATTTCTCAATGGTACAGGGGAAAGAGCCAGATGACAGTGTTCATGATGATCTGTTTCATTCCAAAACTAGATGAAACATTTAAGTCGAAGCAGGCTAAATGTTTCCACCCAATCTCTTCACTCTTCACATGGCTCTCATAGTATTCCAAGTATTGAAAGGGCTGGGCAGGCTAAATAAAAGCCCTCCCCAGACACGACTGTCAGGCTCATCACTAGTGCCACTCTTAAAGTTACACCACAGCCGAGGAAGTGGTGGAACAGGTGGGCTTTTAAAGAGTCTGCCTGGGCCTCCCTGGCCCCGTTGCTACTGCAGCTGCCTCACTGCCAGGTGGTGATGGAGTCTGATGGGCCCTAGCGCCTCTGCCTAAGACTCCTCGGCCCCTGCTGCCGCTGCAGCTATTCCACTGCCGAGGCAGTGGTGGAACAGGTGGGCTTTTAAAGGGTCTGCCTGGGCCTCCCTGCCCCATTGCTGCCACAGCTGCTCCACTGTCAGGTGGTGATGGAGTCTGGCGGGCCCTAGCACCTCCACCTAAGCCTCCCTGGCCCCGCAGGTGCTCCACTGCCAAGGTGGGCTTTAAAGGGTCTGCCTAGGCCTCTAGAACATGAGCACACAGCCCGAAAAACCCACAAAAACCTAAAGCATAGAGAGGTGGTCCTCTGATATGTCTGAGACACTCGTATAATACAAAAGACCTGCCATCTCAGCCCTAGCTTTTACAGATACCACAACTGTCTCTGTCATGAAGAATACAGCTGAATACAGCTGAAGTCTCTGGAAGTACTGCCAACAAGTAGCTCAAAAACATGTTCTGACAGACCTCTGGGTCATACATTTTAATTGTGATTTATCTCCCAGATCGCAATAGCATATTGCATTTCAGCAACCCTAAAAATACTTTCAATGCTGAAATTACCAGCCTATCACCTCTAGAGTAGAAAAAAAAATCAGTATGGCATGGACTGACTTCTTTGCTGGATCTTGTTGATGTTTTGTAGCTCAGTCTTCCAAGAATTTTTCTCATCACAATATGCCCCCAAATACTTAAGATTGGACCTATTCTATCTTATTTTCTCCATAATTCCAATTAAATAAGTGATTGTTTGCTAAAGACAATCACCTTTGATTAGTGTAGTTTATTCTAATTTATTATATTTAACAGAACTTATTAAGTTTATTTAGAATTCTCTCCAGCCTGATTTTATAATGGATACAATTTCAAATACATAAATCAGGAGTGACATTTTACTATTCCCTATTGAGGAAAGGAAGTGATCAGCACAATCTAACTTAGGCACTGAGCAAATTTTCAGGTAGAATCCACTGACTGCACTGTCCACTTCAAAATGGGCTGAACATTGACAGGCAGTCTGCTCCCTCCCCCTGCAAGGATAGACCCATCAATATGGATCAATTGGAGCATCAGGCAACACCACAACAGTTTTCCCCCTTTTTTGCCCCAAATACATGTGCACAAGCACATGAAAGCCCCACCAACAGTTGTCAATCCCCTCCCTTGTCAAACCGCTCCTGAAAAAACCCTCCCTTGACCCCCTGGTGAAAAATAACTACAGGCTGGTCTCCCTTTTACCATGCTTGGGCAAAGTGATAGAGAGGGCAATTGCCTTTCAGCTGTAGGCTGTCTTGGAAGAAGCCGATTATCTGGACCCATTTCAAAGTGGCTTCAGGGAGGATATGGAGTTGAGACCGCCATGGTCGCCTTAGTCGATGGTCTCTGTCTGGGCATCAACAGGGGAAGCGTGGCCCTGTTGGTGCTCTTGGACATCTCAGCGGCCTTCTGGAACACCTGAGGGAGTTAGGCATTTGGGGCACTATGCTCCAGTGGCTCCGGTCCTATCTCTCGGGCAGATTCCAGATGATGATGCTGGGGGATAGCTGCTCTTCTAAAAGAGAGACTTGGACTGTACCAAGTCCAAAAGCTTCAATTGGTTCAAAATGTGGCAGCCAGATTGGTCACCGGAACACCTAGGTCAAATCATATAAGACCTGTATTAAAATCTCTTCACTGGCTGACTATTAGCTTCTGGGTGCAGTACAAAGGATTGGTTATTACCTTTAAAGGCCTATATGGCTTAGGCCCAAGTTACTTGAAGAAACGCCTCTCCCCACAAAATCCGCTCCGCACTCTCAGAACATCCAGGAAGAACCTATTAGAATATCATAAGACCAGGTTGAGTACAACTTCCCATAGATGGTTCACGGCTGCAGTCCCCACATTGTGGAACAGCCTACCGGAAGAGATCCATCTTATCACTACCTTAGATGCCTTCAAGAAGGCACTTAAGATGGATCTCCTCCAGTGGGCCAATCCAACTGATCCCCTATAGTAGATTATTAAGATAAAATACATCATCTCTGATTCGATTACGTGGTTTTGGGGTGTGTGATGATGACTGGCTATTTTATTGAATTATTAATGATGTTAATATTTTATTAATTGTATTTTTGTATTTTAATTATATTTTTACTGATGTAATCCCACCTCAGTCCATAGGGAGAGGCAGGAAATATAAATAAAAATATTGTTATTATTATTATTGTTGTTGTTGTTGTTGTTGTTACTACCAGCCAGCACCCCACTGCACATGCTTGACTGCATGATTGCATGATTGATCGATACAGCAATACACCCAGTGACACATTGGCACAGGATGATGATGGTGCTGCCACCCCTCAGTGTGGTCAGCAGTGGCACTCATTCCACTAGTGTGGCTAGCAGGTTGCAGAACATGCAGTGATGTCCACAAAAAGAGCTGCAAGGACCACCACAAGGTGCACAAGCAGCTGCAGACATGATGGTGGGGAGGCCACATTGTGATGTGACACAGCTGTCATCAGGACCACTGCAGATATCCTAGGTGGTGCAGTCACAGTCACAATCATGCCACCACCACACAGATGCTAATGCTGCTGGTGGATGTACCCAACCAGCAAGAACTGGTGGGAGCAATTTGTCATGCATGTCTTGGCAGACAAACAATGGTGGTACCATTTCTGAATGTCCTGCATCCTCTTCAATGTGATAGTGGTGGAGCTCCATGCAAAGGTTGAGAAGGTGGACACAATCATGAAAAGAGCCATCTCAGTGGGGAAGTGGTTCGTAATTGCCATCTGGACACTCACCAATTGTGGCAGCTGAAGACTCTCTGAAGATGCCAACCACAGATGCTGGTGAAACGTCAGAAAGAAACTCTTCTAGAACATGGCCACACAGCCCGAAAAACCCACAAAAAATTATTGCCAAACTGCCCAGCAGTTTTGGGTTGGTTGCACCACCATGGAGTGAAGTGTTTGTGGAGGTCCTCCTGGCCATGGAAAGGCACCGCGTACCTGGAGAATGTCTGTGAAGTAGGCAGTATCACACCCTCTGATCCCATGTGATATGCCCATAGCATGCCAGATGGTTGCATGAGTGCATCCATTGTCAGCCTCCCCTTGTAGTCCTCTGCCCTCCCCATGTACCGCAATGGGTGAGCCAAACACATATGTGCATCATTTGTCACTGTCCCCCCACCCTGCTGTTCCTGTCACCTTCAGATTTTGGACAGGTTTGCAAAGATGGGATTCCTCCAAGTATTGAGCACAGTAGTGTGCTGCAGAAGGGAGTCCAGTTCAACAACCAGAAAGACAGCTACTCCATCCTACTACAGGGGACCTGTGACCACAGTGGGTACTTCATAGATATGGAGATCAGTCAGAGCAGGGAAAATCATAACCCACATGTCATATGCAACTCTGCCATCTTTCAGACCATGGAAACTGGCAGAGAATATGCCTATAAAAGGACGTTTTGTGAATCATGTTAATCATCACCACCACTGTTGCAGCTACTACATACAAAGAACAAAATTTGGAATTCTCATAGAATTTGTTTCTTGTGTTTACTTATGTATAATCCATTCATTTTTATTTCTTAGAGGTCAGGCATATGCAGGATTTCAGTGCTGTTCTACTTTTTACTTCTGAATGCACTAGGCATGCAAAGAGATTGTTTGAGGAATACTTTGTTAAGATGCCTTTTCAATGTGCTTTCCTTTGAGTAAAATGCATAGGATAACAACATCCTAGATTTTTCTGCAATCCTATGCATTTTATTCAGTGATAACATCTGAGGCAAACCTAGCACAGAGTTTGCTTGGCAAGAATTGTTCAGAGAGGGTTAGCCTTTGCCTTCCTCTGCGGCTGAGAAAGACTAGCCCAAGGTCACCCAGCTGAGCAGGGATTTGATCCTTGGTCTCCAGAGTCATAGTCTGACACTCAAAACACTACACCACATTGGCTCTCTTGCTTCTAAATTCCAGGACTATATTCCCACACTACAAAGGACAGGTCAAGAAATATAAAGTAAAGTTATGGGGTAAGGAGTGTCAGGACAGCAATGCAATGTCTGAGGTTTCAACTAGTACAAAGAAAATGGATGCTAACTGGCATAATTTGCAGTTGGTTGTTTGGTGAAGCCTTTCAATAGATTATTTTTCTCTAAAATTCTACCATATTCCCAATCTCTATTTAAATACTTACCTGGCATTTTTAATATCCCTGATTCACAACCAGATTAACTTTCTGATCTGAATTAGGATATAGTCACAAACTGATATATTCAACAGATGGTTGAACAAAGATGTAGGGGTGCAACAGATGGCCATGAAGGAGCAGCCTCTGGCCATTCTGTCCATGATCGAGCCCCAATTTGAGCGGGACCACAGTGACCAGATGCCGTGGTCCCAAAGCTGGCCGCTTCCATGATCCCAAACAGGCCAACAGCAAGAAGTGGCTTTTTGCACATTTTTGGACATTTTTCCCATGTTTTTTTTCCCTGAAGTCTTTTTTGGGTTTTTCTCTGGAAAATTGGAAAAATTGAAAAAGGAAGAAAACTGACTATGGAATGTTTTATTTTAGCAAATCTTTAAGACAAGGTGTTTATATATTCTCCCTATCATTTCTAAAAACTAATTTCTGTGCACTGAATGAGGACAAGCAAGTCCTAGGTTACAAACTGAAGTCTCCAATGCAAGAGCAAGATGCATTTCTTCTTTTAGGGGACACTGAAAGAATTAAAAAATAAACTGACATGTGAAAGGGTAGAGAAAGCTTCTTTTAATCTGGTTACACATTCAGTTTTTAGAAGTCCATGATAACTGTGATGATGACAAACATAACAAAGTAGAAGCAGAGACTGTAAGTGATACTGGGCCTCTGCAGACCGGCCCAAAGGGCCAGCCTGAGGCAGAGATGGGGAGGGGCAGCTGCACGCCGCATTCCCCCAACCCCAGCCCGATGATGTCTTGATGCTGCACACCTTTACGTACAGTGTGCAGCGTCAGGACATCCTCCCAGAGCAGCATCCTGATGCACTGCGCCAGAAGGGATGAGAAAGAGCCACACACCAGCTCTTAGGGCACCCTTTTGCCACTCTTTTCAGGGCGGCAAAAGGGAGGATTGGGCCGTGGCATGCGGTAGCTGCAGCCCCGATCCTCTACTTCCCAGCGCAGCCTAGAGCCGCCTATCTGCAGCCCCTCACTGATAACCAGGACTGCATCTACACTGCAGAAATAATGCAGTTTGACACCACTTTAACTGTCATGGGTCAATGCTATGTAATTCGGGGATTTGTCGTTTTATGAGACATTTAGTTTTCTGTGTCAGAGAGTTCTGGTGCCACAACAAACTATAATTCCCAGGATTCCCTAGCATTGAGCCATGACAATTAAAGAGATATCAAACTGGAATATTTCTGCAGTACGGATGCAGCCCAGAGCTCAGAAAATGAATCTGATTAAATCCCATTCCTATTAATTTAATCTTAGTCCCTCTTCCCTTCCACACACTCCTCCCCCCATTCTTTTTAAGGGAATGGGTACTTTATGTCTACTTGATACTGAGGAGAGGAAATATAAATAATTTTTTTGTTACTAATGTTGATGATTTCTTCTGTGGGTTTGTTTTTTAGGGTTTTTTTAAGTTTTGTTTTGTTTTTTGCCTGCGCCACATAAACTAGCAAAACCAATGTTCAGGAGATTACTCCTCTATTTTTTTACAAATAATTAAAAAAAATAAAAGTAAATTCTGGTTGTAATAATTGTTTGAATCCATTGCATTTTAATGTACTAGTTGTGATAATTTTATGCCAAATCAAATTGTACATAGTCATATTTTATGTTCCTAACGCAACAGTGACTTTCACTCTGTAAAAAGTGCTAATGTTGCATTTTTTCAATTTTTCAGAAAATGTCCTTTAAAAAAAAAAACTGGAAAAAACTGCTCCCCCCCCCCCATGGCTTCACGATTTCCAGAAATTTTACATCTCTACTCACAGCTACACAGATCTCTAGATTTCAAGCTTTTCCCTTCATTACTTTTTGCTGTGGATGTAGCATACCTTTGCTGTGGACATGCCATACCTTGATTTCAGTTAGGCCTTCTTGCAAACAAGTTAGTAAAATGTGGGCTACACAATGCAGCTGCTAGGTGGATTTGTAGTTGGTTGATTGACTGAACCCAAAGGGTACTCAGCAATGGCTCCTCTTCATCCTGGAGAGAAATGACTAGTTGGGTGCCATACGGTTCTGTTCTGGGCCCGGTGCTATTCAGCATCTTTAACAAAGACTTGGATGATGGAATAGAGGCATGCTTTTCAAATTTGCAGATGACACCAAATTAGGAGAGGTAGCCAGTAACCCAGAGCATTGGGACAGAATTCAAAATGATTTTAACAGATTAGAGAGCTGGGCTAAGACTAACAAAATGAATTTCAATAGGGAGAAATTATCTTAGACCGAAAAAATGAACTGCACAGATATAGGATGGGTGACACTTGGCTTCACAACAGTACATGTGAAAGGGATCTAGGAGTCTTAGTGGCAAAACAGACTACCCAAAAAAGGCAGATCAGGCCCACCCCAGAGCCACTCACCCCAGAGCTGTCTCTTTCAAGCCTTAGTTGACCACAAGATAAAAATAAGAGTCAATTGTGTCATGTGTCAGTGAAGAAGCCAATGCAACTCTAGACTGCATCAATAGGAGTATAGTGTCTAGATTATGGGAAGTAATAGTGCCACTCTATTCTGCTTTGGTCAGATCTCACCTGGAATACTATGTCCATAATTCAAAAAGGATGTTGACAAGCTGGAGATGTCCAGAGGAGGGCAACCAAAATAGTGAAAGGTCTGGAAACCATGTCCTATGAGGAGAGGCTTAGGGAGCAGAGTATGTTTAGCCTAGAGAAGAGAAAGTTAAGCAGTGACATGATAGCCCCATTTAAATATTTGAAGGGATGTCATATTGAGGATAGAGCAGGCTTGTTTTCTGCTGCTCTGGAGACTAGGACATGGAACAGTGGATTCAAGTTACAGGAAAAGATATTCCACCTAACTATTAGGAAGAACTTCCTGATAGTAGAAGCTATTCAGCAGCAGAACACACTGTCTTGAAAAGTGGTGGAGTATCCTTCTTTGAAAGCTTTTAAACAGAGGCTGGATAGCCATCTGTTGGGAGTGCCTTGACTATGTATTCCAGCATGGCAGTAGGTTGGACTGGATAGCCCTTGTGGTAGAAAACTACAGGAGTAGAAAACTACAGGATACCATTTGTTCTCACATACAGCTTCACATGAGGAGGCCTCTTTAAGCCCAAGTAGTCTTCCTATTGTCAAGGTCACTACATCTGTATGTTACCCCAAAAACGGGGAGACTGGGGGGTCCACATCAACTGTGTCACCATTTTTAAAAGTTTGGAGAATTGCTATAGTTCAAAGGATGCTTGCAAGAGGCTGGGTGATCATTTCCTGTGGTGTATATCAGTACTAACTGAGGAGGACGTCCAGTTTTGGATGACTGAGGATGGTTTTTATTAAGTATGCAAGATTGCTACCAAACATAACAATAATAATTCAGACAGACATAGCATTCACAGCTAAAAGAAATTGAGATCTGGAAATTGCATAGTATAGTTTTAAGGGTTCAGAGGGATGATATTTACATCTTGGAAAGGTGACCACAGAAAGTGGGATGTGGCTCAGACTGGAGTCTGAGGGAGACACAGTGAGTAGAAGGATCTCTCTGGGCACACTGTACTTCCTGTTGTGTAGCTTTCAACTGATATTTTGAAATGGTACTCATCTAGAATTATGATTACGATTAAGGCGAAACATCTCATCTATTGCTAAATCCTTACTAGAGGATGGCTCCAGTGAGGTTGAGCATGACTTCCGAGTCAAAGGATAGTGAGAAACAGCTGCTCCTTGTGAAACCAAGATGTATCTGCACAGCAGAATTAAAGCAGTTTCACACCACTTTAATTATCATGGCTCTATCTTACAGAACACTGGGATTTGTAGTTTGGTGAGGCACCAGAGCCAACCACCTCATTAAACTACAAATCCCAAGATTCCACAGGGTGGAGCCATGACAATTAAAGTAGTGTCATATGCTTTATTCTGTAATGTGGATAGATCCCAAGACTCTTGGTGTTACAGAAGGTTGCACTCTTAGACAAGAGTGACATGACCCCTGAAACTGAGCGAGGAGGTTGGATTCCCATCCCATCAGAAACAATGAAGGAATACAGGACTCATCTCATTACGTCTGAAGTTAAAAGCTTTTGTTTGCTCAGAGATGCTTTTAGTGGCATAATCTGTAGTATCCTTTGTCAAAATATGTTTTTAAAAGTGTATATTACTTGAAGGGAGGAAGCCTTTACAATGAAAAGTGAGGCTAAGACAGAAAGGACCAGGAGTTATTCAATCTGTAAATGTATAAATGTAGACTCATAATGGTGCCACCAGGAGAAAGTGATGGTTGCCCAGGGGAAACAATAAATGAATTGAAAGATGTTACTGTTGCTGTGATAGGACAAAACATGCTTTTCACCATTGATTAACAGAAAATATTAATAAATAGTCAATCCTGCTGTTCCCAACTGGTTTAAATTTTTATACATTACAAGGTGTGATCTTTATGCAGATGAGTGGGGATAATGGAATCTGTAAGCAAATAGATGCTTGATTTGGTCTGTGCATTTATTAATGACAATGACCTTTCTTCACCCTGATCAATTTTTTATGCCCCATTTATAACCTGCATTATTAACAGTGACCTTTATTAAAGGGATTTCACAAGTTAATTTCTCTCTCTCTCTCTCTGACAGACTATGGATGCCCACAAATATAAACCAGAGATAATGAAGCACATTGATATTTGGTACTGGCACATTTTATTTTTTTAAAAAAAAAACACTATATTTTCCAACATGAAATAAGTTTAAAAGAGCAAGAGCTCTGGAG